GAAATCATTATAGATTTCCCAAGACAACAGATAAAAGAGGTAAAATAGTCCCTTGTCTGTCTTTACCTTCCCTCCCTCCCTTTATTCTTTCTTCTATTGGACATAAGGGAACAACAGATTCAAGAGACTAGTGAAAATGAAGCAGGTTTTGCTATCTTGTTCTGGAGAAAGGGACACCAGCATAATAAACAAGTCAGAAAATGGCCTGTGGCATACTGACCTGGAGCCAGGCAGTAGAATTTAAAATCCTACAGTTGGGAACAGAGCTTCCTCCTAGCTGCCCAAGGAAGCCAGTCTTCTCCTGGCTGCCTTTGGTACAAGATATAGAACTCCCAGCAATTCCAGCACCATGTCTGTCTGGATGCTGCCATGCTTTCCTCCTGATAATGGACTGAGCCTCAGAACCTGTAAGCCAGCCCTAATTAAATGTTGTCCTTTAAAAGTAAAATAAAATCCTATGACTAAGAGAAGTTTCTATTCCTCTCTCCTATAGGCCGGAAGTTGCCTCCTCATCTTATTGGCCTAGGACACAAAGCCCCATTCATTGACCGATTTAGAACGTGAGGCTGTGATCCCCGCCCTCCTTTTCCAGTATTGGGCTCAGTCACATAGCATTGTTTTAAACTCAGAGTTCAAGCAGGTGCTAGGTGCCAGTTAGGGAAGGGAGGGGCCAATACCTCCTGCTTGTCTACGTCTGACGAACTCTAAGCATCATATCAAACAGGGACCACAACAGTCTATTTCTTACACCTTCCTTTCTTTATTGATAAGCTCTCTTATATCCCACACTGGTCTTGAACTAGTAACGTAGCACGAGAAACCAGGAAAGTAAAATGGGACCAGTGCCTGGATAAGGGGATGAGGAGCAATAAAGACGGGGATAGCAGTGTTCTGATCTGGGAAAAGGGAGGCACTTCAGGGAGAGGGAGGGAAGTAAATTTGGAAGGAGGTGGAAGTAAATACAGAGGAGGGAGGCAGGAAAAATAATGATAAGAATGTCTGAAAAAGCCACAGGGAACCATACTATTAACTACCATGTATATATATGGTAAGTAATTTTTATCATGGCGTTTTAAAACTAACATCTATATGTCTATACCCCGATGATCCACACGATTCTGTGTGTAAATGCACACATATAGCTTAAGTAAGCTTTCTCATTGAGGCTGATAGTGTTCCCTTCAAGAGCCGAAGACAACCTGGTAGGAGCCATGGAAAGCCCTCTTTTGAATTGTTAGCCAGGGCTATCCAAGAGACTCCCAAAATACACAGCCTATTGCTGTTGCACTTGGTTGCTCCCGGCCCTAGAGTGTGAATGTAGGTCCTGATTGCTGAAGACACTATGTACTTCAGAAAGAGTGCCCAGAGACCCCTGAGCTAGAACTAACCTGAATGACCAGTTGAAACATGAATGTGTTCATGCATGCTTTCAAAAAAATTGGATTAGCTTTTGTAAAATCAACAATTTTCCTCTTCTGACCCCTTCCAAGAACACTACAAGGTGACAAAGGCATGCAAAGAAGACGGACTAGAAGATGGTTATGCAGCTTTTATTCATGACCTTTGAATTCTTAAACTCACACAGAAATTTATTTCATAAATATTCTTTAGATTTATCTAGCTCTTTTAATTGATTTAATTACGTTAGTCTGCTTTCTCACAGTCAAACCCTCAAGTGAATCACCATTGGAACAAAAATATAGTTAACATTTTTCAGATGTATTTAAGAAGAGACGGGAAAACTTTGAAAGCAGAACACTAGAAGCTAGTAAAACAGCTCACTTCATTAGAAATGACTCAACCTCTATGTTACACAAACCTCTGCATATCATTGAAAAATCTTCTACCCATATTTAGTATGTCCAGAGGAAAATAGCTTGTTATAAAAGTTTTTTTATAAACATTTTTTAAACAAGGAAAAAAAATCATTACTTCCAAAATATACTTTGTTTGACTAATTCTAGACAGGAATCACTAGTTTCTTTTAAGCCAAAATAATCAGCGCCAGAATGGCATGATTATCCAAATGATACCTTTGCCATTTTTTGAAGACATGCTGTGTTTCTTTTCCTTAGTGTGGTATCCTCTAGGCTAAGGGACTATTGGAAGTGATGTTCTTCCATCAGTGACAATGGACTGGGTAAATGGTGGGCTGGAATAAATGTGATGAGGGTTGTTAAAAGTAGAAAGGAAACTTAGAAAGGTCAACATAACCTAGTCAAAGATTTCTGTAAGGTCAACAGAAACAGGTAAGAAAACCCAAAGATTTCTCTTACAGCCAGGACTAGCAAAAACATATCAGGGTCTAGAGAAGGCTTGAGATAACTCATCAGATTCACAGTGTACAATGTCTGTAACACAGACAGAGGGAGGACTCTGGAGTTTCCAGCTCAACCAGAAAAATGTTTAATGGTAGAATGGGTAAAACATCTGAGAGGATGACACAACTGGGGTGACTCTGAAGGAAGGTTGAAGGACCGCTGGTTTAGGCCTCAGATATTTCACTAACGTGCAAATGAAGCTCTCATTACTAAGCATGCACTACCACTGTATCATCTCCGGACCTTCCTAAATAACATGGCATGAGACAAAGGCTCAAAGGGACTATTTGGCTTGGGTTGGATGGGTTGGGTTGAAAGGCTGTGAAGTTTCAGTGGGACATACAGAGGATTCTGTAGAACTTTTTTTTTTGGTTTGGTTTTTTGAGACAGGGTTTCTCTGTGTAGCCCTGGCTGTCCTGGAACTCACTCTGTAGACCAGGCTAGCCTCGAACTCTCGAACTCAGAGATCCACCTGCCTCTGCCTCCCAAGTGCTGGGATCAAAGGTGTGCGCCACCACCGCCAGGCTTCTGTAGAACTTTTGTGCCTGAATATCCATAAAAGGAGAATAGGCTCTACCCAGAAGGTTGCTGGCATGGTTGGGAGATAGGAAGAATAAATTAGAAAGCTCTGAAGTGTGTTCCATTAATTCTAGTTGAGAAAAGAAAGAGAAAATATTCAGGGGAGAAAAGATCAACAGCTGAAGATGCAGAAAAAGACTCTAGTCAATAATTTAATCTACTCTTTTCATTATTTCCACTGGCCGAACCCAAAAAAGCCAGAGATAAGGAGGCCTGGGTGAGGTTCTCATGGATCACCTTGGGGAACAGAAGTGGAAGGACTAATGTTCTGTTTCCAGAGTGCATTCCAGATTCATACCTTTACCTGAGAGGGCAAACTGGAAATATCTTACGAGATGGCTGATATCAGTATCTATTAGGATAAAAACACATGCTTGTGATCTCAGGGTGTGCCCAGACTTGTGGATATATTGTTTATTTGAAATTATTAGGAAAAAAAATAAAACCAAACCACCAAACCACTACATTCCTAATCATCTCTTTTGGAGAGACACAACCAACCATGAAAGTTGAGGTGTTTGCATCCTCCAAATAATTGGTAGTTATCCTCAAAGCGAATATATAAACAGTTGGACATGGTGGAGCATGCTTTTAATCCCAGCACTTGGGAAGCAGAAGCAGGAGGATCTCTGTGAGTTCAAGGCCAGCCTTGTCTACAAAGTGAGTTTCAGGATACCCAGGACTGTGTAAAGAAATAGTATCTCATAATTTATGAGCTAAGCTTAATGAATAAAGCATAGATCTGAATGAGAAAGACACTAGGGGAAAAAAAACCAATGTGGATGTGTGCACATGCACACGTGAACACACACACACACACATGTACACATTTTACCTCTGGCTGTAGGATCATACACACTTTCATGAGTCAGCATTCTTAGGTATTGTTTGGAAATGAAAAATGTCTGCTCCTTTTTCCTCTTATGTGAGAAGGCCTGACTCCTCTCACACTGCTATTCCTTCCACAGCAAAGGATTTTATATTGGGTATGGTGAAGTATACACGTCTAACTTCATATTCTATACATGATGTGTGCATTGAATCTCAGAGCTCAACATCGAATTATGGACCTTAATTGGCTCAGGCAGATAACCCTTGAACACACTGATTAATCTTCAGTTAGACATCCACACTTTCTTACATGATGAAAGGAAGGAGCATCCACACTGTGAACACTCTTACCCTTGACCCATTTAATCTACATCTCACAATGAGGAAATGAGCAGAAAATAATCTACCAGAATGTAGGCACATTCCATATTCAAACCAGCATGCGTTGTTTAGTAATGCCAGTCATGAAACACAGACACACACAGACACAGACACAGACACAGACACACACACACACACACACAGAGAGAGAGAGAGAGAGAGAGAGAGAGAGAGAGAGAGAGAGAGAGAGGAAAGAGAAGATAATACATGAATGGAAATGAAGATGATGACAAGTAAATGCAATGTGTAGTTTTTGATTATATGTAGACTTTTTTTTTTGGTTTTTTGAGACAGGGTTTCTCTGTGTAGCCCTGGCTGTCCTGGAACTCACTCTGTAGACCAGGCTAGCCTCGAACTCTCGAACTCAGAGATCCGCCTGCCTCTGCCTCCCAAGTGCTGGGATTAAAGGCATGCGCCACCACCACCCAGCACATATGTAAACTTTTTTAAAAATCAAGTATAAAGAATTTTTTGAGGCAGAATTTGAACCACGGAATGTCTACCAAATATGTACTTTGTTATGTTCAGGCTCCTGTAGCTGGTGATACTGAAGGTGGATAGAATAATTTCTTATTACTAACAGGAGGGATATGAGAAAGCATTTTAAAGCTTTCCGATGACTGTAATTTATTATTTTTTGATGGTTCAGCATTGAGTGCATTTACAGTAAGAAAGAAACCGAGGTGATATGTTAACACTTGGTGCACTCAAGGACATAGGGTGCCCTTGGTAATTTTTCAACTTTGCACTTCCCCAAAATTAAGACAAATGTAGAGAAGGAGGAAGGACAAGGTTAGGTGACAGAACTAGGCCTGGGGCTGTCCGAGGGGCTGCAAGGATCTTCCATTCACAATACAGATGTATGAAAGATCAGGTCAGGCCAAAGGCTTATGGGTAGCTAGTGAAGATTTATTTTTAGAATTTGCCAAACAAAGTTCTATAGGAATATGAACACCTCGTACTTTAAAAGTCAGAGCAGTTGGTTAGCTTCAGTTGATTGGTGCAATTAGCAATAGACGCTAAAGATCATAACAAGAATTAAAAAAAAAACCTAGATGTTTTAAGCTAGATGGAAATTTCACATGCACAAATAATTGACAGAAAATAACTTTAGAAATGACAAATGTCTTCAGAGTCTGGCTTTCTCCCTGACTAAGCATCACTGAGACGCAGGCGCATACTCTATTTCCAACTGCATGAGTCCTGCAGTTGCTCCAGGTACAGAACTGCAGAGACTCCCTTGGGCCACGTGGAACGGCCTTCCATTTCTCAGCCCCACCATCCTGCACACCCATGTGTGGTATGACGTATTGCCTGGGCCAGGAATTCAGGGCTCCTTTTCCTCTGAACCTTTAGGGCAGCCAGATAATGCTTTTAGCCCAAAGTGAAATTGACAAAACAAAACAAAATTGCCTATCTTGACCTCTAAAAGTTACTTAAGGAGAAAAGATGAAAGTCCCTGTAGGTTAAAATAAGTCAACAACACAGCAGTAGTAGTGTTGGGCTTCAGAAACCAACATTTACAAGACAGGATGTAAGGTTGTTCTGTGTGGTTCTGTCATGTAGGATGCCTCTGAGTCCGTACAGCCAGCTTCTTCATTCACACAAAGATGTCATGCTTTCTTGGCTTTTGTGGTGGACACAAATGGCTCTAACCCATTATATAGACTAAATAACATCATACTAACGTAGTCATCTTTTGTTATTACATCAACTGCAAGAATACATTCATATCTACATCCCTCTACCAACAGATACTTTATTGAAGTCAAATATCATGGGAAGTATGGGTACTTCTTAGTCAAGCTGTCAGGACCAGTTCTGTGAAGGAATCAGAGAAGGCAACATTTCATTTACTAAAATTTCCAAAGGCCAGAGAAAGCATAGCATGGTTATTCTGGAGGTTGGAAAGGACAGATTTGAATGGACAGAAGGAAGACCTTAGCGATTATAGTGCACCCACTGGACAGAAATGAATTCTGTGTCATATAGCACAGGAGACGGAGGGACAATGAGAGAGAGAGAGAGAGAGAGAGAGAGAGAGAGAGAGAGAGAGAGACAGAGAGAGAGAGACAGGGAGAGAGAGACAGGGAGAGAGAGACAGAGAGACAGAGAGAACACACATGAGAGAATGGAGGACAGGGAGGGAAAATGGGAAGGAAGGGTCAAGTTGGGAAGGCTACAAGTCAAGGGTATTTAATTTACATGTACCGACTATCTGTTGTCTTGTCACTGGAATCCCCATAATATGATATGTAGGATCAGCCATGACTTACTACCCCTTAATAAAGAACAAACACTGCACTAATCTGGCTCAAGGATCTTATTGGTCATTTTAAAAACTTATTTCCTCTCTTCTGGAAAATGGGAAAGTATATCTTTAATGGAAGCATCTAGAAATGACTGTGGCTACAACAAATACATTCTGACTAGGGTAAACGGATCACATACCAGGTTTATTTCCAGTCACCAGACTCTTCCCAAAGGATAGCATGTGAATGGCCTGAATGGGGCACAGATCATGTAGCCCATCAAGTAAGTGGTCCCTGGTGAAACTGACCATGAGAGAAATGGCATGGATGCTTCCAGAGGAACTGCAGGCTTTCCCCAGCTCCTAGCCCTATATAAGGTTAAGCCATAGGCACAGAGACCTGCAGGGAGTCGAGGAGAGAAGGGCTAGGAAGATACACTGCCTTATATGGTAGCCCCGGGTTTGCTTAGAACTTAGAAAAAAAAGTGACAGAGAAGTTAGTCAAGAAGTCTGACAAGACATAAGTGGGAAAGAAACACCACCACCACAAAACCCCTCAGTCTCAAAACCTGAATTCCTGTAAAGCCTAGCGGGCAGGTCACAGGCAGAAGTGTGACGTGGGCGGACGTGCAGCAGCCTCTCCTGCACTGTCCTCGGCCCAAGGGGTTAAGGCTGGTCCTTCATGCTGTGGTCTATATGGCCCACAGGTCCTGGCTAGCAGCACTTAGAGGGTTAAGAGCACATGAAGTGGGTAAGAGACGTCTTTCAGAAGTCCTTGTGGGGCTCCAGCTTTCCTGCTCCTGGAAGTCGGGATCGTCTCAGCCACGGAGGGCAACTTTCTGTCCCATGGAGACTCCTGGTGAAACAGTGCTCCTTTCTTCCAGAAGATGGGGTGGAGTGTTAGTGACACATCCTGGTTGTCATCTCTTTCTGGAAAGCAAGGAGAGAAGGGCCATTAGGGAACAATGAGCAGGGCAAATGGTGGAACGTTTGCCTGCGCCACGAGAACACATTCCATTTGGTCTGTAGGCTTGAGTTAGCTAGGACTCTCTCAGTCTCTGTCTCTATCGTTGTCTTCCTCTCCCCCTCTCTCCCCCTCCCCTCCCCTCCCCTCCCCTCCCCTCCCCGCTCCCCCGCGGGCGTGGGCCCGCTCCGGGGGGGGGGG